TGTTCATCCCTTCCTTAAGTTCATCTTGTGTCTGTCCGACAGTGTATTAGATAATGACTCTGTATTATCTAGAATGTGCTGATTGGTTTTAGAACTAACAATCAAAATTGGAACAGACTCACTTGGTTCCCGGAATTGTATTTGACCAATATGTCGGTTGTGTGTACTTAAGTCATTGATATCTAGAATTCACGCGATAGATTTCTCGGCATTCTTCACCACAATCCCCGTGGTTGATCGAAGATCATTTCCACGATAATACGTAGCTTTTACAGACTCCAAAAGCCTCATATTCGAACGAAGAATCCTTCCTTTTAATAGCTTTGATGGAGTCTCTTTTGTCACAGAATGTTTAGCATTTCTATACTGCGGTAGAAATGCATCTCCCCCCCTCTCCAGTTCATTAAATGTCGAAGCAGCAATAGAATGAATAGCGGCTTTTAATGTGCTGGCAAAATTTCCTGCCCGACTACCAGAACAAGGGGTCCTGTGAGCAGTAAACAGATGTTCGCACCCATACCATTCAACCAGGTAGTGACTGCATCCTCAGCAAAATGAGAGCCATTATCGGTCACTAACACCAAGGGAACCCCTTCTCGACTAAACAACCTTTTTAATGCCTGAATTGTGAAGTCAGAATTTGGTGAAGTTATGTATACATCCGAAGTATCTACGAGTTTCCCCAATTAGTTCTGGAAGTCTCACTGGTAAAGGTTGCACTAACAAACAGTTTGAAGTATTAACAGGTCTATCATGTAATGATTGTCGAGAAATGTATTCAAGGTGTTGAATTTGTTTGGCACTTCTGTGCTGTGCTCTGGTCATAGGCATTCAAAGCAATACTCCGTCGTTGAACCATAGCAGCTGAGGAACGTGCTAATGATTATTCAGGATGATAAGTAAACTTTGAAGCTTCATAATCAGTAACAATAGTGAATTTCTTCCCGATTATTTATTTATGAAGTCTTTCAACGGCCCAAAACACAGCCAATGCTACTCGCTGGGTTTGTGAATAACCCCGTTCAGTAACAGTAAGTTTGTGTGAAACACAGATAACTAGTCTACTTTTTTTGTCAGTGAAGCTAGTTGTTTCATACCTGGTCTAAAACCATTACCATCAACTAGCCATCCATGACATTAGAAACTAGATGCGCAAAATGAACATCTATTCGGATTCATTGTAATATTCTTGTCTATTGAACGACGCAATAGAGCAAAACGTCTCTGGTCATGAACTACCTTATCAGAACCAGTAGAGTGAGATCATCTCGATATACTTCAACACCTTCAAAATCACTGACTACCTTATTCATCACCTCTTGAGATGTGGCCGGAGAACGACTTAGACCAAATGGAATGAAGTTGTGTTTGAACAGACCAAAAGGAGTGTTGATTGTCGTCAAAATAGATGAAGATTGATCTAAAGGGATTTGAAGATAAGCACATTTTAAGTCAACTTTCGAGAACACTTCAGAACCATGAAGTCCATTTAGAATATCTTCAAACTCTACTGTCGTGCACGTTTGCTTCAACAAACAGGAGATCAGTGTTAATCTATAGTCACCACATATTCTAGGAGTCTTGCCATCCGACTTCAATGGCGTAACAATAAGACTACCCCATGCTGAAGACTGAATTGGTTCAATTATACCGTTCACAAACAAACGATTCAATGTCTAATAAACTGTATCTTGAAGACCACAAGGAATTATTCGTCTTCTAAGAAAGACTGCATCACCCCGTACTTTTATAGGCTGAATTGTCATACATTCACTGCGCTTAGCACACGTAGCTATCGAATCTTTAAGTAAAGCACCAGAATTTTCTTTAAAAGCTAGTAAAAACAACTCCACTTTAAGCCGTTTCTATTTTTTAAACCCAGTATTGACAGTCCTGTTCCGCTAACTAAACATTCAGAAGGCAGGTATGAAGAATTATCAACTTATATTAGCAATTCGCAGCATCATCGTATGAGCAGTCTGTGTCCAGTAATCCCCAATATAGTGAATTCAGTGGATGAAATGAACCGAGGGATGCATATAATCAGTTTTGAATATGAGGATTATTGTTCGAAATGGTGGATAAAGATAAATGATCGTTAGGAACAGCCGAACTATTGGGATCTGAATTACAAGATTTAGTACTACTTGAAGCAAAATGAACAGTAGTTGTGTATACGACTGAACGTATCCTATCTTACCACATTTAAAACATTTTGCATTACGAAATGCACATGAATTACGAGGATGAAATTTGCCACAGGACAAACATTTACCAAACTTGCTTTGCGATTACTTGTTGAATCACCTTTCATATTTTCACGAAAATTGGAATCACTATTAAACGAAAGCAAGTTTGTCCAACTCTGAGATTGTGTTTCATCATGACGACTGAGCAAAGCATTTGAAATATTCATCGACTGGATATCAAGTTCATTCACTGCTTTGTAGTTAGTACATGCAGTTCTAGCGTCTTGAATGGAACAGTTCGGCATTCTTACCAGCTCTCTTTACATACCCGGTATGTTAATTCCTACAATTAGTCGATCCTTCAGCTGCACATGAAGTTGATCACCAAAATTGAACTTGGCAGCTTGTCTTTTCAATTCAAGGATGGATCTACTACCTTTTTGCTCATTTTGCTCCCTCACGACATTCAAAACTGGTACACTTTACATGATTTAATAATAGTTCCTTAAGCGTTGCATGATGAAGTGAGACAGGGTTTTCTGAATATGTCAACGTTCTTAATAAACTGTAGGCTTCTTTTCCGATAAAATGTAATGAAATGTGGCAAAATTTTATCACCCTTAACGTCTTTCTTGATCATTCTCCAGATTCCAAAATTTTACAAACAATCCTCAAAAGTTTCATAAGTTGAATGAATGTCCAACTGTTCCATCACAGACTCCATCGCGATGTCAGTGCGATAATTACGAGTATTTGAATTATAGTGCAAACTAAGAATCCCAGAAATAACGCAATGTAAGCAAGAAGTATTAGATGAGCACTAACGAACATATTGTATTTGGAATACGAAATCAAACAGTCCTCAACTACAAAGGATTCGTTAGTTCATACAAACACCACATCCAACACAGCTTAAATTGGAGTTACCATCTGTAACTCATTATATTCGCTTAATATTTGTCCGATCACAAACAGTTACATTACTTATTTAGATTTCGATCTCTTCAATTATTGGTCATAGAATACACAGCGAAAGCATTCTATATCGTCTACCTTGAAAGCCTCAACAAGTGAGTTTTTTTAGTATTACAACACTGATTTCTCTATGGAGATACAGCTTTTATTAAAATGTCTCTAACAAGTTACAGACTGTTTACTTAGCTAATGGTTGTTTGTAATTAGTTGACGAGATCAAGTTGGAATCCGTTTTTATTTCAACTTAAACTAATCATTCAAACAGAACTTTATATCACAAATAAACACATTACTTTCAATCAATAGTGTTTAAAACAATGTACCTCAAGAACGTGATGAATTTGAGTAGAAGACATTCATATTCGATACTGATTATTCAAAGAAATAAATCATTTGTTCCTAGTTTCGTCATGTCGGTTGCTTTCATTGGTCAATTGGAAGAATATCAGTAGACAATTGATAACCTGATAATGGTTTACAGTTAATTAACGAAAACATTCTAATGGAAGAGACTGAAAATAATTGACCTTAATTAACTTAAATCTAACATTTGTATATGCACATTATTGTGAGTGGTATGAATGCACGAACGTGCACATAGCACTGGTATTCAGCAATCTCGAACTTGCTTGCGATCGATCAATTTCTAAACCAATGACCATGCATCGTAAGTCGTATACGTTCAACTTCAATTAATTCGTGATTTTGTGCAACGTTTTGTTCATTATTCTTGGGCTGATATCTGTCTCACACAGCGTCTGAATTCATTTCTGTTTTGTTTTTACGTCTTAAGCATATTTTACGTGGTTGATTTTTAATACGCTGTAGTATTTGAACTTCTTTGTTTGTTTTTTCCTTGTACACACTGTTTCTTATTAAAATTATTCCGTTTTTTTTTTTGTAATTTGATTGTCTAGCGTTATCTAATTTACTCTTTATTATTATTATATAGTAATGTTCTTAACAGATTTTTGTATGATCAAATATTTGGAATGCATCGCGCTAATATATCACGTTGCTCTGCTAATCACGTTGTTTTCTGTCTATTGATGATACTTGAATCTCTGTTGAGAATTCTAGACCTAGCATGACTCCTGATCCCTTCTCAGATGATGCACTTTAAATAGCCTCATACTTCGATTATTCTAGAAATATTATGAATCTCTCTTTGACCGTTACTACCAATCATTTCGGTGAGACTATCTCATATCAGTCGAATATACGTAACGTCTATCCTGATCAGCTTAACGCATAAGAGTCAAGCTCTTCTCACGTGCGTGAACTAACCTCGACAACCATTCACAACTCAGTTTAAAAACAGAACTACGAGTAGTGATTGTGTTTCGATTCGCGTTTAAGCACACATACTTCTCTCACAATGCAAAACTCCTTTTCCTAAAGGGAAAGATTCTGTATTTGAGAAGCACAATTTGAGAAATCACAAACTGGTATCTGATGAGTTTTAACCGAGGATATTTCCTAAAACACACATGACATGAATGAATAAGTGTAGGAAATTCATGTTGTTCACCTATTGGATGATGTGCCATCGGCTAATTTCAACTAACCTTCCTCAATTCGTTGCACATGTGAATCACCACTGAATACATCCGACTTAATGATTTTCGGTGAACAAACTTACGAAACTCAGTCATTGTACGTGGAATATCTTTGAAGTAAATCATTTTCACAAACAAGACATCCTAAAAGCCAATTCGTGTTTGTCTACTCACGTACGCTCGCTACAATGTTATAGTGATTATGCATATTATTCACTGCAAACAAATACTCAGCGTTTTCTTTTCAAAAGTAATGTAGATAATAAGAGTCAACAATTTAATTACCATATTCCATGTATTGTGTGTTAAAATTACAGAATGTGATTCAAGAATATTGTTAAGTTTACTACAGACTAAAACAGTGTTTATTTAATTTGATTTGATTGGGTCATCTGAAAGAAAAGTATATGAAAGCTTTGATGATTCTTGGTAGTAATATGCTTTTGAATGAGACTGATAACCGAGCATGCAATGTGTAATGATATAACAAAAAGGAGGGTGTAAATTTAATCAATGGTAATGAGTATTGTAGTCGAGGGATTAGATGACGGTTAGTTCAACGTTAATTTGTCAATTGTGTTTGATCGGTGGACAACAATTGTGTCCTATCACAATTTGTGCAACACTAAAGCAAATATTCTGCTTCACTATAATCGTCTGAATGAATATGCACATATTGAGGGCACATGTATACAGCGATTCTGGAACAATTACCGATTTGCACGGGTAACATTGATGTTGACAAGTGAATGTTGATCACATCCAAATTGAACACATTTTCACAAATGGTTACAAAACATTTTGATCGAACCATATTCATCCAACAACCACAGTCTGTGACTCGAAATTGAAAGCATTTTATGAACAGTAACTACCATGCTACATGGTCATGTTTAAATGAACTGTCTATCTACCATCACTTTTCAACGAAACTTGAAACTACTGATAAATTTAAAAACACAGATATTTGTTAAGATCCAACTATAACACAACGATTCACTACTCACTTGTCACTCTTCATTTGACTGATCTGTTAATTTGTAAATCAAGTGAACAGTGAAAATCATGAAATGAAACTACAACCGTAACAATTTTCTTGACATGCATACTCCCTATTGCCGTATTGTTGTTTGATGAGGCCACCTCAACCGATAAATATTTACATGAGTCTATCGGCTGTTGAAATCGTGATTTCGTTAACCAACAAATTGATTCGCGTTTCATGAATATAAGTCGTGACCTTAAGGAACGGAACTGCGTTAGACCCTGTAACGGTCGTCACATATTCGAATTACATTGATAACAGACGTCTGTATACAGCATTTTTGTTTACAGTCTCAATATTGTCGACTTGATTTGACAGCACTTGATGTGAAAGTGAGTTGGTGAGACCAGCTTGAAAAGGGCGCAACAAACTGTCAGTCTCTTTTTGGTTATTCAGAGAATATCAACAGTAAGTGGATGGTTTATTGAGAGCAAATCACCAACATTGCAAATTGTTAACAGATTTTGTTTGAAAAGTTATTTCATTGACGTCCTAAACAGGTTATCCCATCTGTATATTGAAAACCGACGCCACATGGTCTTGTCGTTGTGAATTAAGAGAGTCTGTATACCTCGACTTGAGAGTGAACCCGACTCCGATTCGAAGGTTTCTTGTATTTCTACAAGTTATGCTAAATTATTTGTGGTTGGTGGTCTAGTTCCACGATGTAGACATTATCACATGGATAATGTATTTCTACTGCTTGCTATGTTTATGCTGTTCCGGTTTCATACAAATCTAATAGGTCGTGTTCTGTGTTCCGATTGTTTTTCTCACTCACAATACTTTCACGGAGACTCATGGTTTGATCGGGCTACTAGTATCAAGGGAGGAAAGGAAGAATACGACATCCATTACGTATTCACTTGCATCCACTTTGAAATTGAAAAGCGATGTTCAACAGATACTGACAGGTATCCTTAACATTTACGCAATCTAGATAAACAATCACCGAGATTCATATTTGTGGAATCCACAGTAATATAAGTTGTAATGAATGATTCACTTATAACGTAGATAATTTCAGTGCAATAGGGCACCACAATAATTTGCCATAACAAACTGAAAGTCAAGAATAATCAGGAGTAATGGTGAGTAATGTTACATGACGGTAAATGATTACGGGCAATGTCATCAGTCCCATGTGATCATTGTACAACATGTGAATTCCATGGTAACGTTTATGCATTGAGCGACATATTTCACAACTTACCAGATGGAAACGAAGCATAGATACAGTGACCTATATTTTGAAAGACAATTAAGTAATATTCATCAGTGAGAACTGCAAATGAATTGTGGTTAGAAAAATTGAAGTGATAAATTGATATATAAATAAACTTCCAACAAAGTTAAAATAGACGGCTATCATTATGTTTGCCTGTTCCTACTGAAACAAATACGCAGTACAATTAAATTATCACTTTAGGAAAAATAAAGTTGGAGATGGAGTAGGTGGTTTGCATCTCGTTGAAGGGGCTTACAGGAGTTGATTTGACTGGTCGATTTGATCGATCACCTTTTTTCCCATTGTTTCCACAAGCAACATTATCATCACATACTTCAGCATTTATGTAAGCATACCCAAATAACATGGCAAACAGGTCGGTAGAAATAAGGATTAACGACTGCGTCGTATGACAGCTGACAGATGTAGTTGAAGGGCCAGCAAACACACTATTAGCAATCGTTGGCAAACCACAGTACAAAACGACTGTAGCAAACAACCAAAAGTCATTTACTAAATAGACCGTTCTAATGACGAAAATCTCAATATAGAACAACGTTGATGCCTCCTTAATGTTTGTCCTCATGAACATCAATTAACAGTAAAACGTTATGATATATCTTCGTTTGGATCATTGCATAAGAACATTTGTGAATACTCGTTTGACTGGAAAGATATTGAAATCCTTGATAGAAAGGATACTACGTACACCATAGGATCTCTCCGTAACTTGACACCTAACTAAATCAGCAATTAACAAACACATCGAAATCATTACAGACTTTCAATCAATCGAAATATTCATCTGCGAAAATAGAACCAAGAATTAGGTCGAAGCGAGATATAATCGAAATAAGGAGACAGATAATGTCAGGTTCGCTAATACCTCGGATTTGTGCAAATGAGATCACTCAGAAGAATAATCCCGTTGTTGATAGTTTCGCTGAGATCACATTAGTGTTGTTGCATATGTGTAATATGTGTGCACTACATCCACATAATCTTAATCATGATACAGACAACTGACAAATCGCAAGTAGAAAAATGTGCTCGAATATATTCGGGATAAAATGCAAAGAAGTTGTTCCAGTATGATCAATTTTTATTGTTACCTGTATAGTTCAGTTTCAAGTTTTCTAATTCAGAGATTCGTATAATTGACGGCAAACCTTGAAAATAATTTTGATGGAAAAATTCAACAAGACGTAATTTACACCATGACGTAAACCGACTTTGTGATATCGAGCATAAAGAAACAGGTGTTACGAACTAGCACAAAACATATGCCAATGAATCAGAAAAGTGAAACAAAGTTGTGGAAAAACGTTGCTGGAGACAATGATCACCAGCATATGAAGTTCAAAAGTGACATGTCTCAAGACCGTTGATTTACTAATCAGGGAGAGATAGAAATCATCAATTGTGCAAACATACCGAGAGACGTTTCTTCTTTATCAGTTGTTGTTCCAGGTTGAGATATTTCTCTCTGTATGGTCGTTTTTCCATCTAAATGACAGGAAGACATCGAAAAATAAACCGACGGAGTAATGAAATGGTCTAGAACTGATGTCTGAAATTTCATTCACTGGTCGCCTTATGTTCTTGTGTACTAATGCCTGAGTGCATTTGTATGCGTGTTTGCTTTTGTGCCTAAACTTGTCTGCATTATTTCCATCTGTAGCGACATCTTTCAGCGACACTTGACGTGAAGTGAAACATTCAGTGGTTTCATCCGTTCACTTCATCAAAAGTCCTATACAACTCCTAGGTAAGATTAAGTACACTCATAATTAGCAGTGGTGCATTAACTCAATGTTGCCAGTGAACAAATCAAAGCTTTGGATTTATTATGTGAACGACAAGTTGGTTATCGTCGAAAAGTACGAGTTGTAAAACACATATAATCTGATCAACAGCATATTTGATGGCATACATATCATAATGAAAATGGGGTTGAACAACAAACGATCATACATGAATGTTCTGATCAACAGAACTGACTCAGTGAAACTGGGAACTCAAGTAAATCGTAAGCCGACCAAGACCAATTACAGTAGAAACAACCCATGAACTCACAAATTCAACTGCGCACAAACTTTATTCAAGAGGGTGGAGACGCACTGCAACACACTTGTGGCGCGACAGATGAAGGAAAATACCTGAAGAATATTCTCATCAAAAGAGCGGCTATCCGGTCAACTGCAACAAAACTAGCAACCAAATGCGTCGGCAGAAACAAAATCAAGCACAGAATCCAACAACCGAATCGTCCTAACACATATGAAACACATATCGTAAATCACAACGAGATTTTCGAAGCTGTTTGGAATTGGTTTGCACACAACCCAGCAAAGTCACTCCAATAAATCCTATGCAAAGAAAAGGACGAAACCGTGAAAGAAGTAAAACCGAACATCTTCATCTTGACCTACACGAACATCGATTGGCAGTCAGACGCCATGATATATCCTCGCTTATATCAATGAATTTAGACAACTATGGTCACACATTCGACTAGAAAAATGTTGAGATCTTGGATAGAGGGATTGCTATTAGCACCAGAGAATTTTTAGAAGCTTAGCACTCAGGTGAATCAGCGATCAACAAACACATTGAACTAGGTCCGATCTATCAACTAATCAATCAGAAAGATCATGAACAAATATAAAATCAATAATCAGATCAAAAGGAGGTGAAATCAAGAGGAAGAAACAGGCAATGACAGATTCAAGGTCAACAGAAATTCACCTGAATAACAGCACTTCTACAAGTATTTATAGTCATGAAGGTCGTATAACGAACTGTGGTTGACTTTTCCACTAGTAAACATAAAAGAGAAGATTCGTGTTCTTGTCGAGTGACAATATAATTCGTTGTGTGGAACTTGATGGTGTCTGTGGTCGAAGTATATCCAGTACCGAGAACATGTGAGATCAATGGAATTTCACCACTGCTCTGTATCATTTTATGTTCTATCGATGTGTAGCACAAGTCATACACACTACATGTGAAAGTGACCGCATGTGCTGGTCAATCGTGTGCCTGATTTTTATTAAACCGTGTAATTGAATTTCTTTGAGATCGACCTGGTTTCACTATCGAGTGTCGAGTGATAGGCATCTTTGTTTGTGACTAATACGATGAGTATACAAAAATGGCAATTCCCAACTGGATGACAAGTAGACATCGAGAAACAAATCAACAGAGTAAGTTCAGTGAGACAATGAAACAGTCTAAAACTGATGACTGAATAGTCATTCACTAACCACATAAATATAAAAGTTGATATGTCTCGAGCTCCTTAATTTGCTAACCAGAGAGAGAGAGAGAAACCGTTAGTTGAGCAAACTTACCGAGAGTAGTATTTTTCTTGTCAATCGTTATTTCGGGTTGAGTTATTTTGCGCGGATCGATCGTATTCTCACCTAAATAACAGGAAGGCATCAAGAAACAAACCGGCAGAGTAAGTTCAATAGGATAATGAAATAGTCTAGAACTGATGTCTGAAATTTCATTCACTGATCGCCTTATGTTCTTGTGTACTAGTGCCTGAGTGCATTTGTGTGCGTGTGTGCTTGTGTGTTTGCTCTCGTCTGCATTATTTCCATCTGTCGCGACATTTTTCAGCGACACTTGCGTACACTTGCCCTAAACATTTTTCGATAATAACTTTGTATTCTTTACCTGTTTTGCAGAATCACTCACCGCTTTCACCCTTATATAGTAATTCGTAAATAGACCAGTAAATTCTTCTATATATATTATACTCTGAACAGCAATACCCTTTCTTCATAAGTTCTCGGTAGTCCATTCTCGTGCTTATATCTCCTGTCAGCACATCGAAGGAGCAGTTCGTCATTGTTTCACCGAATCCAGTATATATATTCGACATAATGATCTTCAGCTGAAATCAAAATATTGAGACAGTGTTTTATGGCACTAATATTTATCCTGTAATCTACTGAAACAATATCTTTTTTAAACAATTAAGTATTGTATACTCGTCGGTATGTGTCATATAAGAACCCTATGGGAACTTGATCTCATTATTCTATGAAGTTGTTTTTATATAAATTCTGATGAAAGCAGATAACAAATGATACGAAAGCCACATAACATTGATGATTGACATTCAGGTCTACAGAATATCAGGAAATTAATATATTCATCAACAAATGTCATCAAAACGAATATCGACGGACTTCTCGTTGAAATTGTGGGATTAACGGTACGAAGATATCAAAACTAATGCAATCAACGTAAATCTGTAAACTCTTTTAATCAACACGTGACTGCTACTTGATCGATCGACACGAAACGCAATGGATTCAAGAAAACTTTATAATGCATGACCAGATAGAAACTCACCTCAGGGCACTTATCAGTAGTTACTGATCTCGTAGGATAGGTTTTTTGGAACAGATAGGAATCTAAAATGTACACATTTCATTATATATAGTTTGTAAAACGAATATTCACTCTCAACAAAATATTTCATAAATCGATTTGTTAATCAAACCACTCTATTCAGTGGGCACTGTGAGCTGAACAACATATCGATTTTCGTGTTGACCGAGGAATCTGTGATAAAAACAGTGAGATTGTTCAGACATTATTTAAATTCACTGATGATCTCATACTCGGTCAAACCATTGTGACGTTCGTTGTGACGGGGACGTGAAACTGGTGCAGGAATGGTCATCAAAGTTTATGATCAAATTCTCAACACGATTGGCAATCTGGACACTGTTGAGCTGAACAGATCGAAACCAACGTGTTGAAGAACACGTGACCTTGTCTATGGTGAGAAAATCACTGAAATGCAGCGGAGTGACATACAGTATATCAGTTGAATGATATTTCTGATCAATCACTCGGTTCCGCTGTGTGAATTTAATGCGAGTGTGTTTGTGTGTCGAATATTTACAAGCATCTCAAAGTCAGGAGCGTGTGACTGAGCAAATTATGGCGATCAATTAAAACGGCCTTAACGAGTCGAACGTTCCCGGACACATTCAATAAATTGTATGATTTCACTACAATCGCATCTTCTATATAACGTTCGCCGGCTTCCCATCATTCAGTTAAAATAACAGCCCTAAACAAAGCAATCAACACATGTCATCTTGTCACACTCACACACTTCCAAATTTAAATCAACAGCCACATATATATAGGACAACTTACCACGGCCAACGGCTATTGGATCTAAAATTCACAATAAATATTATTTTGCGGTTGATGACAACTGACTGACTCTTTCACTCATTCGACAACTCACATTTACAAATCATTACACATCATTCACTTCCTAAATTCCTACACCACATTCACAGATTATTGTGTTCAATATTCCTCAGTATCACTGACTTCAACAGATTTTACAATACACAAAACTACAGGATTTATTGTGAACTTACCACTCACTGAAACGATATCTGAAATGGAGTACAGTATATTTACTACTTAATGATGAAAACTGCAAGCTATGTTATCTCAACTGAACACCGTACATATTGATCAAGTGTGGATATCAACTAGAAAATTGTTATGCATTGGTGATTCACTCACCAATTATCCACGCGCTATTCACATTCACATTACCCGATTCAAGTGTATTCTTCAACGATGGGAACCAGGTTTTCGATGAAAATACTTTTTCCATTTCACTCGATAACACTGCCAGTTCAACGTTAACAGTATCGACACGAGTATCATTTGGCCTTTGTGAGTGATCGATATCACATGACAGAGTAGCAGAACTCAATTTTGGTTCCAATTCCTTCACCACATCCATAACCTTCAAGAAATCACATGAAAACACTATCCGTCAGATTATTTCGTTGAAGTTTTTGTGAAAGTGATCATTCTAACTCGAGTGAGAGTTTCTAGACTTACATTTGCACAATATGTATCCAAAAACTTTAGAGATACTCCTACTGAACCCTTTTCAATTCTTTCATCCCACTCCTTAACACGGACAGAGAGTATCTGTACAAAGATATCTAAAACAAATCGGAGTTCAAATAAATCAAACACGAAAGTCATTCAAAATATCAGCGCGGCTATAGTGGAGGGAATCACACGTCATTTAGAATAATTCGTCAGTGTCACTGTGTGATTTGCATTGTTAATGTACTGGTCAGTGGACACTGAAAGTTTCGACTACTGTTTTTTCAGCCGCCACCATGCTCACAATGGATTGATAGATTTTTCGTAAATCGTAAATGAAGCATTTCGAACGTGTCTAGACAGAGTGATCCAATATACGATTACTGATTAGGAGTTACTAAGTGAATGAGCTAAAGCAAGAATCAACAATACATCAAACCATACAGAACTGGGATGGTCACTTCAATTTCTTCCAAACTGAAACCATGAAAACCGTAGCGCATGACGATATTCACTGTAGTTCGGATGTAAGATAAGAATATGTGTGTGGTGTGTGAATGAAATAATGATTCCTTTGTAACTGTTGAATGTTTGGTTTCGAATTCGAAATACAGTACAATCCTTCGTGCTTATATACTACTACTTGATCCAATTGCGTTATTTCTGGGATTCTTAGTTCGTACTATAATTCAAATATTCCTAATTATCAAAATGTGTCGCATCTGAACATCTAACCAAATTGTACTGCATATTGCATTCAATATACACAAAAATGAACGACTTTCGTTTAACATTTTATACGAAACGTGATGTAAAGGCAGTTCATCACATGATATTACCGTTCAAATAACTTACCTTTACTTGAAAACTCAAGAGTCTCAGCTGCCACTTCTTGATCTCCTGTGACGTCAACAAAAAACAATGGAAATTATGAAGATGAGACATTCACATGAATTGAGAAACGCTTCATCAGTTTACTGACGACTAGACACAACAATTGATTGGTCAGTGAGTAGTGACTAGCATCACGTTTACATAATGGTATTAACGGCATTTAACATTGAGTGGATTAGCCACTAAACAGGAATTCGCCTATAGACAAGAGTCCAGCTGTCGAAGAATAGCTCACTGTTGATATCACAGATTGTGGAGCTATTTTACATGGGGTCCAACACACTGTAATGCAACACTTCCTTCAAAATTTCAGACAGACTTTGCTGACTAGTGGTTATCAGCATGAACAACGATTTTAGCTATTACTGACAATGAACTCCAATCAACGAACGAACTAGGTGCATGTTTATCAAGAATCATTCAGAATAATATTAGCTGTTTGATTTCGTATGACATCGTAAGCGAAATTTATTGGAATCACTAATTCTCGTCTTTCATTTGAAAGCACACATATTCACATCAATAGACATTTGCTTGATCAATCGACTAAACACGTCTACGGTGATCCATTTGATCTACTGTACTTCAAACTCCTTTACATTGAAGTAGGAGTTCAAGTGATCATCAAAATTCACAGAGTCTCGTCTGTTTTCCTGTGAAACCTGTGAAACATCGGATCCTATTCCATGTGATGTGCGGTCCAGTATGCTTCCATTGAGTGCCATTTATTCATTTCTCCTGCTGACAACTTCATCTACAACGAGACTGATGACACTCGAATATGTTCACAGCGCTATGTGGAGGTTCATCCGTCAACTCGTCATGGTTTTGTTATCGGCGCAAGAAGTACACATAGATTGTTCACGTTACACTGAAAACCACGTAGCGATAACAGTGTAGACTGGCTGTGGTACAGGATTTGAAAAACTGGGTGCCGACACAGTCTGGTGAACTGTTCACGAGTACAATTTGTCGTTTAACAGTTGTCGTTCATTAATTTGAGTTTCCATACTAGAACGAATCACTTCTTGCGTGTTCTCTGGTCAGCACATGATTCGAACTAAGGATTTGAAACATCTTATTATAACGGACAGAAACAATCATAAATAATCAATTCGCAGAGGATTTCGTCGTTTATTATTCATAGTTATCATTTTTCAGAAACCATCTGTTTCCGAGCATCATGGTTGTATGAAAGCTTCACTTCAAAGTTTCACTAAATGTTTAGATTTAAAGTCTGTCATTACTTCTACTAAGGAGAAATACGAAGTAAATTCACGTTTTCCGCTACGCGTTCAATCAGGACATTCTTCCACTGTTTATATCATCCAATGGGGATCTATTGAAAACTTCAGTCGTTCGTATTGATAGTAAGTAAGAACAATGTTGAACGAATACTTTCTTTATGGTTCTTCGATAAGGATTACAAACGGGCAAGTATTACAACTTATGCTGCAGTCACATTGTATCACGTGATACGGGTAAATGTCATGTAGTTTTGACAGGACAATATTGCTTTCTAATATCGTCATGTTAGCAAATTTCAAAATGCTTGCAGTACACGAACGATGACTTCTTATTTATCAATCAATGACTTGGGCAAGGCTTTATTGGAGCCTGTAGACTATCAAGGCATTTGACTTATTATACTACCCGTGAGCTGTTCGAAATTAGTCATAAGGAAGCAGAACTTAGTATGATTCCATACTGATTGATACTCAACAGTGAATTATATTGTGATTGTAGGAGAACCAATGCTCAATGTGGAGATCGAATAAGTGTAAACATCTTTCACGACATGAAGAGTGCTCGTCAACGCACACTAATGACGGGCGACTTCCTGGTCAATCAAAATATTTAAAACGGTTCATCACCGTATAGTGACTAACGACATTATTACTGAGTGATTATTTATGTCAAGTAGATCGTCATATGAATGAAAGTAAAGATGAAAACGCACATTTAGAAACGTTTCAAACTTACCCGCATTGCAGATCAGGAAAAAGAAGAGAAACCAAACAACTGCTACTTGTGATCTAAACATATTTGCTCTCTGTAATTCATCAAGTTTTCTGAAATCAACTACACAGTTTACGTCCTGATTCCTGTTTAAATACAATGATAACGTGTCATTCTAGTCACAATTAAAGCATATGTGATTGGCAAGTGTAAGGATAGAAGTTATCCGATTGGTCGATGCCACATTTTCTAGACTATACCAAGGTCAAAACCAATGTGAATGAGACCATCATTCAAAAAATCAATAAAAGTAACCATCACGTGTAACGAGATAGAGTCCAAACAAATAGTCATTCAATCTTTGATAAATTCATCCAACTATTTTTCATCTTTTGGTCACCCCTTTCATTATCACACACCAGTGTTACTTGAGAACCTGAAATTAAAACATTTACCATACCGTTTAATTTCACTCCATCCTGACCATACATTCCCTGTCAACTTGCGTATGCGCCTATTCAGTTTCCGGCTGAAATATCCTCAAAGGCGTTGAAAAAGTATGATGGTGTGAGAGTCTCATACAAATGAATTTATGTTGATGTAAGAAAACAAATGTTCCAAGATTAAATTCATTCAGGCTCACCGTGATGTACGCTCAGTCCATTCATAGTGCAAGTAAACTTCTTAATCATTATGCGTTTCCATTTCCGTGGTACAGTTAATGTGAAGATCTCTGTACCAATTTATCGGCATAAAACAATTGGATGTGCAACATTCATCAGCATCTCCGTATTCTCAATGTGTCAGCATGCAATTCTCTCCCGCTAAAAATAGTAAAGATTTCAAGCTAATTAGTGTCATAGGTTTCGCAGTTTACATTAAGAATAAAATGCGACGACATTTTGCACGTCGAGCATTACCCATTGTATTATTTTAGTCTGATTCCGTGCACCATGCCAAGTCGTTGTGATAATTGTAATATAAACGAAACATTCTCATATGTGACAAAACCACTCCACATGTATTTAAAGTGATCAGTGAGAATATTGAAGATGAAATTAGTATATATTGAGCTGCGAAATTCCTTAATTCAAGGTCGAAATGACAAAACGATTACTGAGAAATTGGACATCGATCCCGTCTTTATTATATGATCGCTTCACGGACACTTGTTGCACTTATCAGTTTTATATGTGCATATTTTCCATCATGTCGACCACCAATAGACCGAGAATCTTCTTTTATACTATGTCGATGTTCAGCCTTCAGGGCGAATTGATTCACTGTTCGTGCACCACTTTTCTTTTCAATTACCTTCTTGTCACGGTCTACATTTAGAACAAATTGGAACTCCACCGTCACAACGTGAAGTATTAGGGGTTTGCACTGCTCCATGAGTGCGTAAATATGAGTACGGATTTCAGAACCAGATTGTGACTGCTATCGGCTGGCAGAAATTGAGAGTTTGATCTAGTTCTGGGTTATCTCACCCAGATCAAATTGTTGACATGCTCGATTCTACTCGTGAGCTTGAGTGACGGAGTGATTATTAGGTCCGTTGAATAATGTTAGACATCTGTGATGATTGTAGAATGTGGATGTTTGTTCAGTCAAACTTCCAATAATATTAATGATTATCATTCAATTGCAAAGTGATGAAATATCTCATTGTTTATTGTCTTCTACAGGTTATTTATCCTTTATATTGTAAAACGAACTTATGGACATGGAGTGTGATTTTAATTTTAACAGTTTGTGAACTCAGGTCAAATCTAAACATTCCCCGTTTGAGATGGTGGAAAAGATATGTAGCTCAGGTAATGATTTTGATGGACTTTTGTTCTCTATCAGAAATTCCACGTTTTGTTCGTAGCTGTGATAAGGTATTTGTGGTTGGTGTGCGAAACTAACGTTGAAGTTATTTTATCAGAATCTGTTACCAGCTATAATGCATAAATGGTCTGAAATTTGTGCGGAAAGTGAGTAGTTGCTGTGTGATCAGTTCATTTACTAACTGTGTGATACTTAGCACCTAGTACTACCATTCATACTTTGAAACGGGTATTTCGTTTTTACGCCAAAGCTAAAAGGTTGTGCCCTGAGTGTTGCATGCTCCGTCCTGTACAATAAATTCACAAAGACCGACAGTTTGGTTAAGATGAATAGACCACCTACTATCGGTAGAATTGTGATATTCATTACGTCTTCACAAATATTCACGTTTAAACTTCGAAAGCGATTTACAACATATACTGAATGGTATTCGTGACATTACCACAGGATAGATAAACAGTGATGGAGAATCATATTTGTGGAATTTACAGTGGCGTAATTTGTAATCAGTGATTTATTCAAAACGTATGGCAAGTTGAGTGCGACAGGGCACTACAGTAATTTGCGCTGACCAGCTGAATGTTAGGAATAAAGAGAACTAATGGTCAGTAATATGATGTGATGATATAGGATTGCAGGCGGTGTCATCATTCACACATGACCATTTTACAATATTTCAAGTCGGTGATAACATTTATGCAGTGAGTGAGGCAATTCACAACTTAAATGATAGAAGAGAAATATAAAGACAATAATCTATACTTTGACAAACGATCAACCAATATTCATCAGTGAAAACTGCAAATGAATTACGGTCAGGAAAGATGAAGTGATAAATTGATGCAAATTAATTATTAGCTAAATGAAAAAGATGTCGGTCTACTAAAAGCATTGCAATTCTCGTTTGGATATTGATCAATTTGTTAAGAAGATGAACTGTTTTTAAATATGGAGGTATAAACTTCACCGAAACAGAAATCCATAAATCCCAGAAATAACCCAATTTAATCGAGAAGTGCTAAATGACCACAAAGGAATTTATTGCATTCGGAATTCGAATTAAAACAGCCATCAAATACAAAGGAATCGTTAGTTCATACAAACACCACAGTTTATCAACATCCTGACAGGAAATATATATATATATATATGTTGTATTCCACACATCAGAAATTTATATCATACTCAAGGAAGAACCATTAAACTTTCATTAGTGTGTCGATAAAATTTTGTACATCTTGATTCTGGCCTTCCATGGTTTTTCTATATGATAAATAGACGTTTGAAAACTCACCACGGCCAATGGCTGACAGATCATTCGACAACTCACATTTACAAATCATTACACATCATTCACTTCCTAAATTCCTACACCACATTCACAGATTATTGTGTTCAATATTCCTCAGTATCACTGACTTCAACAGATTTTACAATACACAAAACTACAGGATTTATTGTGAACTTACCACTCACTGAAACGATATCTGAAATGGAGTACAGTATATTTACTACTTAATGATGAAAACTGCAAGCTATGTTATCTCAACTGAACACCGTACATATTGATCAAGTGTGGATATCAACTAGAAAATTGTTATGCATTGGTGATTCACTCACCAATTATCCACGCGCTATTCACATTCACATTACCCGATTCAAGTGTATTCTTCAACGATGGGAACCAGGTTTTCGATGAAAATACTTTTTCCATTTCACTCGATAACACTGCAAGTTCAACCTTTATATTGTCTACACGGATATCCTTTGGCCTTTGTGAGTGATCGATATCACATGACAGAGTAACAGATCTCAATTTTGGTTCCAATTCCTTCACCACATCTACAACTCATTGGAAATCACAGAATGATTTAATCTAAGTGACCAAACCATTTCATTCACAGTACTATGCAGTTAAACGACGGTAGTCCAGTTTATTTTGTTTCAAAAGTAACTGAAATTTATCAATTCTTATCGATATACCGTGAAATGATTATGGGTAAATAGCGAATTTCATTCTCTTCGGTAACTATCGCACTACTTATAAATATCGAGATACCAAAACTCGACTATCAGTAGACAAGTATTTGGAAGTATACCATGTGAAAACTAATTAAAATACTTTCAGTTTAATAATTTTGTTGAGAGAGTGGATCATGGGTGAGCTCAAGGAAGCTCAAAGAAGCCCAGCTGAGGATCTTCCATTCAATCACGTTTTGGAAGAATATTCCTAAATCTCTACATATAGCTTCCGCATTGTACAAATACTTAAACCACCTGTACGCGGATTGCATGACTATAATGATGATTTCGTTCTACTAAAAAGCCATAAATACCCGATAAATTTGTACCATACTTGACACTGTTTGAAATAGAATTCCTTCTCACCAGCGTTTGAATGCTCAAGTTGTATGCAGTATAGTAAGAATCCAAGCTCTATATATAACAGTTATCTTCCTCTCTACCTTCAGTCAGTAAATTCTTACGATACATTAATCACTTATATTTTCACAGAAGTCATCGAAAACTCCAAATGATTGACGAAGTGACCTGTCTTTAACTGCCTTATCCCAGCCCTCATTTGAACTTTCAGTATGCTCTCAACAATATTTGAAATTGCTGAGAAATAAAGAATGTGACATGCACATATGTTCCACTATAATAACTGATGAGATGATGAACAATGCAAGGCGACCAAATAAACAATCTCACTGTTTGCGAAGGGAAGTGTTCGTCGGTTAACAAAATCCAACAGTAAAAGTGTGCCATTAGTGTTGTTGCTAAATCGGATCAGCAGACCTATTGATTTGCGAATGTTATAACAACTCTTTTCTGACTATGTGTTACTAATGGAGAAATACGTCGTTTATCTTTCATGATACATGTTGAACACGACCAAACAGTGTGACCTATCATTCCATAACTAAAGAAATACCAATGGAAATGTGCTGCAGAAAACAAATATGAAGTCATCCTAAATTCTCGTACACATATCTTTCTAAAGTATCTCAAACGTAATGTTTAGAGAAAGGACATAACAGCATACTAAGTCTGGTTAGTGAAGATAAACAATTTGTTTGTCGCAAACATAATTAGGTGTTGCACAATTAAAGTATCTGAAATCAACGTACGTGCTAATCTATATGTAAGTTGTTGTATGTAATTGCTTCACGGACTTGGTTTTTGTGGAGTCTGGAGACTGAACTGCAACCACGTTATCTATGGTAATGTAAAGAAATTAGACAAAAAGAAGTGCTGTGGAACCAATAAAATTTGTGTACCTCTGTGAATTGCCAAATAAATAATAAACTTCACGCCTATCGATAGTCACTATCAGCAAAAACCT